TAATAACTAAGTTTCTCATTAAAGATGTAGACATCAGAAAATTTGTACAACAGATCAACTGAGTTTTGGTTTTTCGTTTTGTTTTGTTTTTTACTGCTTAATATTTCTAGATTTAATTCCTCCTTTGTTTAAGAAAATCACCTTCTGACCAAACATACCTCTTTCACATAAATTTTCAAGTCAGGACTTCTACATACATCCATGTAGATCTTTTAAAGGAAGCTGTAGAATTTTTATTATTCTACAGTATTTCCTTTGCTTATTAAAAATTAGTTATAGAATTGCTGAAAAAATCTATAATATGGCAGTTATTTATATTATCTCAACCTAAAATAAATTGTACAACTCACTCCTCATCATCATCTTTAATATAATTCTTTTACATAAATAATTTAGTCTACATAGATAATTCAAGTGTGGTTCATGGCCACATGAAACTTGCCACATTTGGGATAGAATGACCCAGCTTAAAGTCTGGCTCCTCTAAAAGAATGAGTTTATATTATTCGAATGTGTATTTAGAGTAAAATCTAAATGTGTCTTACTATTGGCCAATTTTTTTAATTTATGGATTATCAGGACACTGAAATTATTCCTTTATAAAGAAAGCCAAATTAAATTAAGACTAAATGGAGAATGTTAGTAATACAAAAAGGACCCTTTTCCAGTGGTTAATGTCTTTTACACAAACATGGAATGTATTTAAGAGAACACAGCCTAACAAGAGATCAAAGACATAATAAACCTAGGAAACAGAATAAAATAATCTACTTTAATGGCAGAAGGCAAAACTTGTCAGAGGCTCACACAGACCTTAAATAAAAACCCTCTACTCATCATATTTTAAAACAGGCTTTCTTTCTTAGATGACCTGAATCTAATTCAACACCTATTTGAATTGATAAGCTTACTTAACAAAAACTCTGTCCCTCTTTATTAACCACACTTGAAACAAATTCTCTAAAACACTTAAGGCACAAATAACATCTCACAAAATTCGACTTAAAGTTGTACCTCTTACAATAAGTGAAAAATAAAATGTTTCACTCATAAATGGTTGATATGGTTTCCAATTATGTCACTGCAAATTCAGCACCACTCCCATTTAATAACAACCATTTAAGCACGTTTCCTTCCAAATAGCTATTAAGAGAATAAAGATGCATCTTTCTTTTTTCTCTCTCTCTCAGATACACACACACACACACACACACACACACACACACACACACAGCATTTTTATGCCATTATTTTAATAGTACGGTAGTATTTCCAAATAATCTGAATTCCCCATGTTATTTCTTAAATTACTGCCTAACTAGGGAGTTGAATTAGCAATACCAGCAACCCTCAAGACCAAGGCTGTGTCCTACATCTCCTGCCTGCTTACTTTAGAAAAACACAAGTCATTTTCCATCACAGTACTACCTACAGGAAGAATCCCACTTTGGTTCCTCAGCCCTGAAGTCCCTCTCTTAAACCCCAATGCTGTCTCTGTGGGCATATTCTATCAAAATAACCTAAGCTGGCTTTATCTTTCCTCCAAAACTAGTCTAATCTATTTCCACTCAAGCTCTTTACCGCACATTCAAAGATCCTGAGTCATCTGTCTCCTCTTCCTCCCTTCCCAAGCTAAGGGATGGTCTGTTGAGTGCCCTCCTCTTCATTGCAGCCACCTCCCTGTTCACCTTTCCCTGGTATGAGTCCTTTTCACACCTTCCCACAATTGTGTAATGGTCCCCTTCATGGTCTCCCTAGAACTCTGGTCAGGCCCTAAGGAACCCAGTCAAACGACAGTCAAACCACTGGCCCACTCAAAATTCATCAAAGGCACTTGGGAGTAAACACTGTTAGTTGTCTTTTCAACAGCCTTTTTCCTTGCTGATGGAGAACAGGACTAATTATGCCTGTGAGCAATGGTCAGGCCCAGGAGACAATGTGAGATGTCCTGAACCCACCACAGCCTCCTTTGCCAATGAATCGCCTAGCATGGGCAGTGCAACTCTTCTCTGGTCAATAAAATAGAGAACCGATAAGAGAAAATCTCCTTCTTGATAAGAGATGCGCAGATGGGAAAAATGTTCTTTGCTACCACTTCCCCACCCAACCCCTACCACCTCACTTCCATTTTTGTGCACTATCATGTGAGGATGTGATGTCCACAGCTACAGTAGCCAACCTGCAGCCAATGAGAAAGCTGCTCAAACTCCAAGATTTTCAGAATAAAAAGACAATCAAGAGTTCTTGAAGATATAATTGAGACATCCAAAAAGCCTGACCTACCTACCTGAAGACCTCTTGTAAGCCAGCATGTCTTTATAGTTTACATCACTGTGTATTGGGTTCTCTGTTATCTACTGCCCACAGCATTATAACTAACAGACTGACAAAGAGCAAATTCTAGTGAGCATATCTGCAGTCCCACAATCTGGGCATCACCTAGGATCCTCGCATCAGACCTATGAACCAGCACCTCCAGAATGTCCAAAAGTCTGTATCACAACAAGCTCTCTAGCAAAACTCATGTTTGATAAACATTAGTTTCACATTACCTTTTACCATCTCTATCTCTAAGAGTAACCTATACACTTTGAGACATACTTGGTCTGTAATTTCTCCAGTGATGGGAACCTTATTTTGCTAGGTTTCCGCATCATGTGTTGCTTATTTAATTTGATCTCTTAATCAGAGTATTCAAACTGGAAGCTTTCCATGACCTGAAAGAAATGCAGAGGGTCCCCATAGGAGAGCAGGAAGTGGGGAGGACTATGATGACCCTGGCGTGCATGCCCAGGTGAAGGGCTCCTCGCAAAGGGCTCCACAGAAAGGGCTCCAACACAGGTCGCCAGGAATGAACAGAGAGAAGGTCACTATCACCAAATTAGGATTATTTCTAAAGAAAACCCGGGATCCTGGTTTCTAGACAAAGACTTTTAATACAGATGATTTTTTAATTTAAAATAATGTGCAGATTAAACAAAGTAAGTTCTCAAATGGGTTCAGCTTCCAATTGAATTTGTACCCTAAGGAGACAGTTCTTGGAATATCAACACATACTTTGAACACTGTGACCACATGCATTCATTGGCTTCACCTACAATGACTCAAATTCATTTTCTTTGGCTGACTATACATTTGTCTATACTGAGCACAGGGTGTTCATCAACATTCCACTGTTTGGAAAAGCTGAATAGGGAATCTGTAGACTTCCAGTTAGTGGCAGGAGGATTATTTCATCTGTTAGTCACTACAGACCATAAACCTAGGTCAAAGTTTCTCAGGGGCCTACAAAAATGCCACAAATGTGAGAGGGAAAAAATGATCCATGCAAGCAACACACACCAAAAAGAGCACTACAATATTAATATTAATAAATGTATAATTAAATGCCTACAAAATGTCAATGAAGATCAACTGTTCAACTCAGACATGTTATCGTATCATATTAAATACAGGACATGTAATGTTTGATATGGCATGGAGGGGAGCCCAGATCAATAATGCATGAAGCATGCCAAAGTTCTAAGGAGACCCTGAGTATATCCCGAAACCAGCCATCCTCCCTTAAGTCTAGTCTACTTTAAAGCTAACACAAACTCCTTCGCTCGGGTCAATTTCACTCATACAGCTGTGTACACAGCTGAACATGGGAGTTGAAGGTAACCAAAATGACTTCCTAAAAATTACTTTTTTTTTGGTACAGAGAATCGAACTCAGGACCTTGTGCTTGCCAGGCAGGAGCTATGCCACTGAGCTATATCCCCAGCCCTAAAAGTTATTTTTGAATCTCATCAGCAAATGAACATGTCTAAAACTAAAGTTGCAAAGAAAGAAAGCACAAAAGCATGTTTGGAAAGTCACACATAATTATTTTAATTATTTGTTAATTAACTGCCAATGTTTAAATTCCAGGATATTTCACTTAAAAATCCAGAGTACTGTTCTCTTGAAGAAATAATTGTACAATGTGTAGACATTGGATCCACATGTTGTCATGGCAACAATCTACTAATGCAACATTAATCCTTTAAGGGGGGCGTGTTCTCTACTAGACCACAAACTACCGCCATGTAGGTTTAACTGGTCATCTCTGTAGACATTTAAATAGATGACCCCTCGTCTAAGTCTTTAGAAAAACCTTATTTCTTATTCACAATATGACTTCTACATGGTACTTAAAAGCCTGTCATGGAAAAATTTGGAAACCTCTCAATCTGTTCACAAAATTCAACACCCCTACAAAGCAACCTCAGAAATGAAGCAATCAGTTCTCATGCTAGCTGAGGACATCAATCTAAGGAAAGGTTCCATCAAATCCCTCTCCCTATATATTCCGAATTTGAACCACGGTGCCAAGAAGATAGACAAATAATAAGTTACCCTTTGGTTTCTATTATTCGTTAAGTTAGCCAAAGTAGAAACCCAATAAGGTGGACTCATACACTAACACAAGAATATCTTAATTATACATAGTAATCATGAATAACACACAATAATTGAAAGTAAGATTTGGGACTGAATGAGGAAAAACACCACAGGACTAATCTGCATAAGGGTAAGAAATTAGTATCCATATTTTAAAAGGAAAAGAAAAATCCTAAGTATATGAAGAAAAACCTAGCAAAAGTCCAATTTCATTATTAACCTACTGAATGACTTTACCTCATTTACACCCCCATTAAATAATTTTATTCTGGGGTGGGAGACTTCTGACAACTGTATGGTAACTGATAACCTATGCATTATTTTCTTACTGGTGAAAAAATTTAACTGACTCCCCAGGAAAGAAAAACTCCAGATATATAGCTGCTGGATCACCAACTAATTTGTGTCACATAATAAGGACATTTTTAAAATATACAGATTTGAGTTTAATTTGTTAGCCACAGCAGAAAAAGAAACATTCAAACAGTAGATTTTCCACTTGAAATTAAAATGGAAATGAGCCCTTAGAAAATAGAGATGACTTTAAGTGTAGACATCAGGGGCTGGTTCATGAATTATTAACTGATTTTAATGATCCTGGCTATATTTTATTTGAAGTTATTCTCCTACTTGCAATGACTTTTGAACCCTCAAAACTCTTTCATCCATTCTCTACAGACAGTACACTTTCATGAGCAATGACATTTAAAAAGGATCCATATACTCAGAATGTAAAGATAATACACTCACATATAATTTATAAAAGACTCTGGCCATTTGTTAAAGAGAGAAATGAATGAACCCCTATTATTCACGGTTTGTAAATAAATTTAAAGATAAGCGCTAACTTTTCACTTGTTAAGCCTACAGAGGAGAGTTCTGTGTTTCTTCTAAAGTTTCCCAGATGGTCATTAAAACAAGAAAGGGCAGCAACATACTTTTTTGAAATCCATCATTTCTCATCCAGAAGGATAACTGAAGTCATCAAAAGTTAAGTCTTAAAAGATTAATAATTACAGGTGTTTTCAAATGAAATAATGTATGTCTCTGTATGCTAGGATTTTTATTCTCTATATAAATCTACAATGAATAATGTACTTCAGACAAACAAGTTAGCTGTGAAACAAAATGCTATAAACCTTTAATTAGCACTTGCTGTTTTATATTCATAAAGTTAATACTTCCTCTTCTACAACATTCGGTGTACAAAGAAAAATTACAAGCAATAAAATTGGGGATTTTTTTTCATTCCTGAAATTAACAGTAGGAAAATGCAGTCTCTGTTTCAGTATAAAGACTGTTATACTTTTACCTGTAAGCAAGGAAAGGCAAACACCCCTTTGAATGAATACAGTTTGATTCCTCCCAATGTGGAATGCTGTATCTAACTTTCAGAAGTTGGTTACCCACAGCACTCCGGATGATCAGATTGCTAAATTACCAAGACAGTAAGTTATTTCAGGCACATAGCTGGATTAAGAAAATATAACACAAACCAGCTTCCATCCACACTCCTGAAGTTGAACAAGCACCTCAATAAATAATGACTGTTTTCAGGCTTTATACACCCTCCCTGAAATAAACGTTCTTGAGTTTAAATTGACTCAAAATAGCCTTTCTCGGAAAATAAAAAGAGACACACAAAACACCCACAATTTCCTCTGGTCCCTTGAAGTACCCTTGGGATTCTCGTGAACAGAGATTTGCCACGCATTGCAGTGACTGGATTAGTACAATAGGTTTCTATTTTGGTGTCATTCGAGTGTTGCTGATCTTAAATCAGAGAAAGAAGTAGTTACATTAGACAAGGTAATGGCTTCCAAAAATAAGAGCATGGCCAGTTTATACAAAGCTCGCATACACGGGCTAAGTTGTAAGGAGATAAATAATACCCCACTGGAACAATTAGGGGATTCTCAGAAACACTACATCCTTAATTAGGCTGCCTAAGTCCCTGACTGAGCATACATGCGGGACTTTTTAAAGCACTTAATAACCTGAGTAAATCCAAAGTCAGAAGACAGAAACCAGTCCTTAACTCTGGCTACAGCGATGGGCCTTTTCTTGCTTGCTTTTCAATGCTTAATATATTACTCTTGGAATTCTGAAAATACGTACGCCCCACCACGATCCACCAAAGGGTTAAAAACACCGAATAAAGTCCCTTCATTTATCCTTATTGGGAGCCCCGCGATTCAGACGCGTTTCAGACACCGGGCTGGCCCTGGATGACACAGGCGATGAGAGAGACCCTAATGGTGTTTTACAAACTTCATCCCTGGAGTTGGGAACGGAGTATAAACAAATAGGAACAGGGGCCTCCATCAGCCACGGGGCACAGCAAACTGTTCCTCACTCTAGATACAATTCCTCCTCTTCCTGCTATTTATTCATTAGTTTTGTATAGCACCTTTCTTTCAGCAGGCTCCTTATTTCCTCCTCTGTTATCCCAGCAATCATAAACAAACTACGCTTTGAAAGAACACCGGGGGAGGAGGGAGGAGCAAGGGGAAGGGGAAAGAAAATCGCACTCAAAAGGCGCAGGCCGTCCGGAGCTGGGCTCTTTCTCTGAATATCGCCCTCCGGGTGGTGTTGTCGCCAAAGCTTTGCCCTTGGGGTTGCAGGAAGGATAAGAGACCTGGGGTCCGAGCGGCCCTGGCTTCGGCTCCCGCACGGACTTGCTGCGCCGGAGCCCTTCTGAGGTCCACCTTCGGCCACCTGAAATGTTCAGTCCTGGAACTTCGTGCAGGGGGAGGCGCAGGAGGTGTGGTGACCCCAGGGCGTGGTGTGGAGGTCTGCAACTCTGAGATCCCCGAAATGCAAAACTTAACTTCCCCTCCCCCCAAAAAAAATTGAAAGAAGAGAAGCCACCGCTTGCTCTAACCCGGGAGGGGCGGGCACCACCGTTCCGTGGTCCAAAACGCTCCAGAGAGAGGCCAGCAAAGGCCAACTGCCGGGGTCCTACTACCTCAGGCCCCCGCTCCTGTCCCTGTCCCGGCTCCAGGGCACCTCAAAAGTTTGTTCCTTCCCTTCCCTGAGCAGCCCCGGGGCCCAGCTTCAGAGTGGGTGAGGGAGGTGAGATGGAAGGGGGTTGTGGACCGAAACCATCGGACCAAGAGATGAGGGACCCCTGCGCTGTCCCCCTCCCCACACTCAGGGGCTGCGACCGTGTTTACTAATAAAAGCAACAAAGAATCACACGCAAGTCCCGTCTTTCAGCCCTCGGGCGGCTCTTGGCTTGGGGCAGCGGATCGTCGGGGGAGGCGAGCAGAGAGGCGGAGGGCAGAGCAGAGCGCCCGCAAAGGGACAAAAAGGGGGTGGGAAGGGGGCAGAGGAGAAGAGGGGGAGAGTTAGCCAGAGACGGAGGCGCAGCCGGAAAGGAACCGATAAGGGAGCGAAGAGGGCAGAGAAAAGTGAAAAGGAGGTGAGCTGGAGCTGGGGGCGCGCCCGGTGGGAAGGTGGCCCCGGCCCCCACCCCGGCCCGGTCACCTTGCTGTAGCCGTAGTACCCCAAGCACTGCGCGAAGTCCAGGCCGGCGGGGTCCCCGGCCGCCGCGGGGTAAAACCTCACATCCATGCCGGAGCCGGGCCCGGGGCCGGGGGCCGGGGCTGGGGCTCGCGGGGGCCGGTGCCCGCCTCCTCACAGTCACTAGATCCACCGTCGGGGGCGTCCGACCGGGGGCGCCCTGCGCCGGCGCACGGGACTCGGCGCCGGAGGGGCGTCGCTACCCGAGCGCAAGGAGCCCGAGAGCCGCGGCTCCGGCACACAAAGGCGCGGCCAC